TTTTCTTACTGCACTCTTACTTTTACACTGGCATAAGCCGGGTAGGCAAATCCGATAAAATTGCAGACCAGTTCAGCTGCCGTACCAGCAATAAGATATAATGCCACCATTGCCATTAGTAAATATACAATCTGAAAAGAAAGCTGCTTGAACCCCTTTAAAGGTTGGCTGAATATGCAGGTGTTTGGCATTGAAAAATTCCTATCTTCTTCCCAAACTTTCTTTATCATCGCCTAAACTTCAAAACGAAGGGCTTAAGTACATGTGATATGTACAGTCCACCCTACTTTGTGTGTGATAGTGTATAAGTTCTGGTTTTCAAATCTTTGAAATTGAAATGGGTGTTATCTTTGTGTATTAAAATGAATAAACGTTGATGTTACTATTGATGTAATGCACAATGAAGCTCAATACAGAAAGCCGAGGAGTGACTAGACGTTTTACGTTCTTCGTAATTAAAAAAGGGATATCTGAGTGATAATATCTTACAAATAGCAGCAGATGAAGTAGCAATTTCAGAAGCAGCACGTCTAGAAACCCAGACCAGCGGCGGAGCTAGAAAGCTATTCTATGGCAGATTCCAATTTGATGTAGCAAATTCATAGTCAAACAATCTTTGACTTTATTGAACTACGCATCCAACCTATCTATCATTTCCAGATGCATTTTAAGAGGTCACCTCTATGCATTATAGATAACTTGAAACATACCTTTTCTCTTGGCAAAGCAATCATGGATTCTGCTGTGCCCACATTCTCATCGTATGCTTCACCATGTTTTGCATACAAAAACGAGATCAGATCAGCCTAAATGATAATCTATACAGATTCATAGCAGTTATTAGACCAATATATTAAGGTGCAATTTGGTAAAATTCACCACCCGCCCATACTACAGCTCGCTCGCAGATTTTGTTACGGAAATTGCCCCCAAACAAGGTAACAAATGAGATGGAGTTCCATCGTAAAGTTCTTAGATTGATAACCTATGACCAATACCTGCATTCAATGTGAGTTTTAATAGCAGTGTTTCCTTCTGTAGAAATAGATCAAGATCAGCTCACAGGACTGTAGGATTGAAGTGTGAAATATGAGAAATTTATGGGTAGCTTATCGCAAATTATTAGAGCAGTTGGTTCAATAAAAGGAAGCACAATAAGAGAGCTGATGATAAAGAAGAACACATATGCAGTAGCAAGAGCTGTTTTTGTTGTATTCAGGAGTGAAGCTCGATCATCTACGTCAAGCAGAGTGTACATTCCTCTTGCTCGATGATTGACAGAAATGTTTGTGAAAATGCTATCTCTTAGATATATCTGGTTCCCACAAGTTACTCTACACCAATACGCAATCGGGGTGTCCATGTGATGCTAAATAAAGTGAATTACGTATTCAGTATATTATACAAGAAAGAATAAGTCAGCGGCAAGAACCAATCTTCGATTTAATCTGCTGTGTGGAGAATTCGGGAGCTGTGGCACATCATATCTGCGCCTACATGTCTAGAATTTCGTTCATTATTGCAAGAATAAGCCAAAAAATGCATATATGCATAATAGAGTATGAATAGCTAAAATTTGTACATCCATCAGAACGAAGAAGATAATTGCTCCTAGATTGTCCGGGACTTTAGAAAACTCAAAAGTACCATGCTCCTAATAAAGAAATTCGGTCGAGTATGGAGAAACTCAGAATGACTATTCTGCACGCTCTAAAATGTTCTGCTAAAGTTTTAGACATAAGAAAAATGGAAACTTCTTATTTAATTCTGTAATATAGACTAAACATAAAGGACGTTGCTGCACAGAGGATGTATGGAAAACGTTCTAAGTAACAGAACGTTATGCGCAATGCGTCTTGAAAGAGCTGTAGCAAACAAATGTTAAAGAGTAGCTAAAAGTATAGTTTCCCGCAACCGCAGATTTGAAGATAACCCAATCGTAACAAATGCCCTTCGCACTGACAAATATTGTTTTCACCGAAGAAAAACTGAGCGACGATCCTAGACAAATCGTCGTTTTCAGCTTTGACCCGGGAAGAGGTGTATATACTTGCAAATTCCCAGCTTCTGAGAACGTTCAAAGTGAAGAATAAGTGGATTGATAGATGCCCCTCTAATGGTTACCATGATCAGCGCAGTTTAACGTCTGTTCGCAAACTTTCACCAGCCTAAGGCGAAAAATGCAGAAAAAGTAACTAACAAAACCATCGATTGGATGGATGTAATAGGTAGCGACGAATGGATGCAGATCAATTCGTAAAACTCGCATTTTTCCGTAGATACTTACTTACTTGGATACTTAGATGGCCTGTCTTCACTTGTCGCGCAAGCCACAACACTGTTTCCATCCGTTCTGTCTCTCGCTAGCGTAATCCACGATGTTGGTATTGAACTACAGCGGCTACGTTCGCGAGGTCCAGATTTACTCGTTAATGAATTCAGCTGTACTACCCGTGCAACGAACATGTCAGCTCATCTGGTCGTGGCCTCTCTCGAGGACGTTTTGCCTCGCGATTAATCCATTTCAAAGTTCTTAGTGTCCATCTGTCGTCCGTCCTTCTCATAATATGACCAGCCCATCGATGTTTTGACTTAGAGGTATCTGGATCACGAAGACGTCGTCTCAGCGCTCTGTGGGTTGTTAGAGCCTTTGACGTAGCTACAGTGTCAGGCCACGTCTCTGCTGCGTAGCAGAGCGCAGGGAGGAGAACAGTTGAATCGAACAGGTGGGCTCAAAGCTCTGGGTCCGTCAGCTGGTCTGTGGCTTCCTTTAGGGGCCTGAAGGTGACCCAAGCTGCTTTTGGTCTCCCGTTTAGTTCTTTCATCGTTCTCCATGTTCCTCGAACGCCCGAAATCGTAAGAAGACGTCTTCGCGATTGGAGAGACTTCTAATCTCATTTTCTGGTCCTCGCAAAAAGCGTTCTTCATGAACTGATTCTTCCTCCGGTTAATTCGCACTCCTATCCGCTTCCCTACTTCGTTCAGTTCTTTCAACATCGACGCTTCAGTGATATGCCTCGAGAAGAGAACAATGTCGTTGAAGGTTTGAGTGGAATCTCTCATTAACTCGTATACCTCTCTCGTTCCAATCCAGTAATTCATACCCACTGCAACGCTGCGAACAGCTTTGGCGACACGGTATCGCCTTGTCGAACCCCCTCGAGATTGGTATGTTAAGGGGACGATGGAAAAGCTGTATCGTTGTAACGCAAATCCTGTAGCAGTCGGCCAATGTCCTCACGTAAGATGGGTCTACCCCTTGGTCAACGAGCGCTGACAGTATGGCATTAGTCTCGACGCTGTCAAAGGCTTTCTCGTAGTCGACGAAAGTTATTACGAGAGGTAGGCGGTACTCTCGGCAAACCTCGATAACCCTCGAAACTGCCTGGATGTGGATTTACGTAGCTGAATTTCTGGCAAAATCCGGCTTGTTCTCCAGGTTGGGCTTCATCCAGTGTCCTTGATAGGCGAGCGAGAACAATTTTTGGAAAGAGCTTGTAAAGCATGTTCAGCAGGCATATTGAACGGTAGTTCCGGAGATCCTCCCTATCGCCCTTCTTATAAAGCAGGATTGTTTGGGAGGTTCTCACTGGTTGGATCCTTTCCTTTAAAGGTAAGACGTTTGGTGTGCCGCAAGTATCTCGTGTAGGCGATATCCTCCAGCTCGCAAGAGGTCGACCGAATCATGGTCTGTGGCTGCCTTCATGGTCTGGATTGCGGCGCGTATAGCAGGTAGAGTCCGTGGTGGTATTTCTCCAATGGGAATAACGAGGTTTGACACGGGAACGAGCGAAAGAGATTGGTGTAAAATATCTTTGTGGTCGCTTCCATCTTTTGCCCCAAAGGCGTGCAGTCCCTTCTTCGTTTAGCAAGTTAGCGGTACACGATAGTCGAGAAGGTACTCTGCGGTAATTCTTTAGACTTCTCTCCTTATGCTGTTTCCAAAAGTTTCAATTGCCTGTACTTTGGAAGATCTTTTTGCAAAGCTGTTCTGCAACTGGTATTGGCTATCAGTCGCTCGAGATGTGATGCAATCGGATCCAGCCTCAGTGCTCTTTTCCTCTCTAGCAGATCCTTGGTACCTTTCGAAATTCGTTCCAAGTTGCGAGGCATTGAGGCAC